CCCAAATATTGTCTCCTTAAATCACATAATACACCCGTTCACAAAGGTGTGCCACAATTGATTAGTAGTAGATGAGGTGATCAAATTCGTGTTTATTTACAAGTATTTAGGGACCAAATTGATTTGAGCTAATAAACAAGAGTGTTAAACACAATTTTCATTTCGAAACCTAAAACAACAAGCAAAAGTTATAAAAACACTTAAAGTGATACATAATATGAAAATTAACTCGAATTTAGAAATGTCAAAAAATGACCCGATCTAACTAAAGCTAACCTAACCTGAAGTGTCCTATTGAAAAATTCCATCTACATTGACACAACGAAATAGCACGACAAACTAGACCCAAACCCGACTATACTTTAACTAGACCTAATCCAGTCACCCGAATTGACACCTTGACCGACCTGAACAAAAATCGACGACGTTAACCCATTGAGGTGTATAGGCAAACAGGCACACATCACAAATGAGCCAGAGGCAATTGTTCCACACAAAACGATTCAGAAGTGAGACCTCCCTCATATTCACTTGTCATCATATGCTCAGAACAACTCCGGCAAATTGATTTTCCGGCAATCTCTCTCTTCTCTTCCGACTGTCGAAATCCTTCTGGTAATCTATCCCTATCTCTGCCTTTCCCTCATTTTAGTATTGAATCATGTTTTTGTGCTTAATTTTGAATGTAATATGTTAAACATTATTGAGAAAATTTGCGCTTCAATTATCATTTTTTTCTTAAATTTCGAAAAAATTCTGTATTTGATTGTTATATTGTAGAGCAGAAAAACCCTAAAATTGATGCATATTAGAGATGTCTATGATGCAGCTGAGTTGTTGTAAATGTGAAATATGAAGGTTTGAGGGTGATTCGTGAACAAATTGTGGATTATAGATCATGAAATTAGTTCAATTTGATTGAATTTGTTTATGAAGTGTAGAAATGTGGATAATTGGGACTTGTTTATTTGTGAGATTATGTAGTAGACACTAGGAATTAGGAAATGGAAAGTTGAAGAAAATTGCAATCTTGCAAAGTGGAAAGCTGAACAATTAGGTTGGATTCTTGTTACTTTTAGATCAGTGTAAAAAAAAAAAGAAATCGATTCACGGTTTTAATATTATCCAGTCCAGCTAGAATGTTGAATACAAATGTATATTTGAATTAGGTTAATGGAATTAGGATAGAGTTGTTTTCTATCTTTAAGGGAATAGATTAATTTTAACAGGATTCATTGCCTCTTACATAAGATTGGCTTCTGATGAAATTGTAAATGGGGTTTTTTTTAGGTGTGTATAATCTGTTTGATTTTGATTGTTGGTTGAACATAGCTCTTTGAATTCCATAATGTTTGTCCTGATTTTGGCAGATATTGAATTCCAGAATGAGTATATTTATATGTTGCATAATTTTCCACCTGAAAATTCCACGTATTTTTTATGTATAGACTAAGCTGTGAAAATACCGTCTTGTAGCACCTGTCACGCTCAGTTATGGAACTCGGTGGAACTTGTTGGGCAAAGACAAGTGCTACAAATTATTTTTCCTTCCGTAACCAGTCTTATGTTAGTCTGTTAAAATGTTTTGTAAGTAGTTTCAGTTCTTGTATATGCTTAAAAGTGTCAAATCAAGCATCTATATCAGAGGAGATTCTCTATTCTGTAATGTGTCAATGTACGACTTGGGAAAAATCTTACAAAGTAATTCACTTACTGGTCAATTCTCATTAATTTTGGAGTGTATAAATAATTATCTAGAACTACTTGATTGTTTAGAGCTAATGTTTCTTTGCAAGCCATAGATGTAATGTAAACATGGTCAGGTTTCATTTTTGAATGCTCATTAATTTCCGAGTGAGAATTGCACATAACAAATATTCCATATAAAAATAATGAAGATATATAGAAATATACATATAGCTGAACTGAGGCAGCTGGTTTTTGTAGCCTGTCTCAAATCCTGTCCAATGTGTTGTTCAAATGTTCACTAGACTAATTCTTCATTGTCAGTTTTGGCTATGCTATGTTAGGTGTTAAATCTCTTTCAGACATCAGAATACTTGCAATCCCAACTCCAAGACGATGCATGACACACCAAATCCGGCCATATCATGTAACCCCTCGAAAGCAATTTCAGAACCATAGGAAACTTGTGGTTTGTGCTAAAGAGCAGAAGAATGGAGATGAAAATGAGATAAGCAAAGAGCCAAAACCCAACAATGAAAATGGTACTGAGGCCAGTGACGATCAACAGACACCATTATTCAAACTGAGATGGACTGATTTGCTGCTTGATCCAGACCCAGACAATGTATTGGCTGTGGGCCTGACAGGTCTGCTTACATGGGCTAGTGTCCAGGTGGTGTGGCAGTTGTTAGCTGTCTCATTGGCTATTGTAATTGCTGCGCTTAAGTACTCTTTTGTAGCTGCTCTTCTTATTTTCATTCTCGTCGCCCTTCTTTAACTGCACAAATTGTCAAGATTCCTTAGCTTGTGAAATGTACATTTGTTTGATGGCTTGTAAACGTTATTAAATTGTAAATGTGATTCATATTATATGGTAATATTGGAGAAATTTTTATCAAAAGGTCTTTTTGAGGCACTATAAAGAGTCAGAAGGTGTGCTTGCAGCATAACTAGAATCCGAGAGCAAAAATATAATATTGGCCCATGCAGGGGTCGAACCTGCGACCTTGGCGTTATTAGCACCACGCTCTAACCAACTGAGCTAATGGGCCTTAAATGTTATCATTATGTCATTATATATAATATTTTCAACGGAAATTTCACCATATACCACTGAGTTTAAGCTTAATTCACCGTATACCACCAAAAACTTTCTAATACACCATATAACCTTCAGTTTTATGGTAATGTCACAACATGCCATTAATGACTAACGGAGGTTAACACCGTTAGTCATTAAGGTTAATAATGCCACGTGACAGCTTGTGATTTGTTCCCTTCTAAATAATTTAATTTTAAAATAATTATTAGATTAATTATTGAAAAAATTTAAAAAAAAAAAGAAAAAAAATCAACCACCACCAACGTTCCCCCAGCCATCCACCACCAACGACACCCCCTGCCAGCCACCGCCAACGAACTCCCTCGCCGGTGCGGAATTCGACTAGGACCTCCGCCGGCGCTCCTCCCTAAATCTAGCCGGGGGTAGGATTTGGGTCAAGGGGTGATTTTACCCCCGAAACCACCATAACCACCACCCTTAAAACACCATCAAGCCTCGAAAAACCCCTCTAACCTTCGCAAATCACCGAAAACCTCCATCCAAGCCCCGATTAACCCCTCTAACCTTCGCAAAAAGGCCGAAAACCTCCATCCCATCCCCGATTAACCCCTCTAACCTTCACCACGAAACTTGCCGAAAACCACCACCACGAAACCCCAAAACACCAAAATCGAAACCCTAGATTTTGGTTTTAGGGTTTCAGCATACGTGGTGGTTCAATGGGGTGGAGATTTCATCGGGACAGGGCGAATTCATTTGCCGACGCGAGGGAGGGGGGTTTCGACGTCGGCCGGCGTTTAGGGGACGGTTTTTCGAGGGAGGTAGGGGGGTTTTTGAGGTGATTCAATGGGGTTTTCGAGGGAGGCACGATAGTTCAGGGGAAGGGGAGGAGCGCCGGCGGAGATCCTGGGCGGATTCCGCACCGGCGAGGGAGTTCGTTGGCGGTGGCTGGCAGGGGGTGTCGTTGGTGGTGGATGGCTGGGAACGTTGGTGGAGGTTGATTTTTTTTCTTTTTTTCTTTTTTTTTTTTAATTTTTTCAATAATTAATCTAATAATTATTTTAAAATTAAATTATTCAGAATTGAACAAATCACAAGCTGCCACGTGGCATTATTAACCTTAATGACTAACGGTGTTAACCTCCGTTAGTCATTAATGGCATGTTGTGACATTTCCATAAAACTGAAGGTTATATGGTGTATTAGAAAGTTTTTGGTGGTATACGGTGAATTAAGCTTAAACTCAGTGGTATATGGTGAAATTTCCGTATTTTCAATAATATAATGTTTATGTTTAAATTAGTTCAACTTTTCAAGTGAGGTTGATCTTGAAGAAGAGAACAGTTGATCGAATTTGAATGCAATCACAAATACAATGATAAATTATAGCCACCAAAAATTAGTTGTGAAAGCACAACAAAGGTTATTGCAGATTCAAATAAATTAGATGATATTAAGGCCCTGTTCTCTTCACCTTAATTTTGCTGAATTGAAATTATTTTTACTGATTTTCTCTTATAATTCTTCTTTAAGAAAACTGAATTTTATTGAACTGAACTTATTTTTACTGAACTTAAATTATTTTTACTGAATTGAAATTAATTTTACTGAACTGAACTTATTTTACTGAATTGAAATTATTTTTACTTAATATTATTTTTTTAAGGTGAAAAGAACAGGCCTAAATCTTGGAAATCAAATTTCAAAGACAAACCAATGTATTATATGTTGATGGTGATAAATCGTTAGCTTTTTTCAAAGAGTTCCTTAACCCGCCTTATATTTAAATGTGTTCTTGATTTCTTGCAACAAGTAACACCAAATCACACTTGTCATTGCCTAGGATCATAAAATATTACCATCCAAATAACCAAAGTAGAATTCCTAGTTCATCATATAAATGTTTGTAAGTGCAAGTCGTAGAAACAACAATTCGAAAACCCGATATTTTTTTTAGAACCTGTGCTCGAGAAGGTTCCCCAGTTCCTCGGAAGCACCTCGATCTTACATGAGACTCGGGCTATTTCCCACTCTTCGCTCATCCATTCTACCCGCTCGTCCAGACGTGTCACCCTTTCTCATTATCATCTACTGCTCTTTCTTTTTTCCTTTTCGGATATTCGATATCCGATCCGAAATATCCGAAATCTTAAAATTGGATTTCGGGTCAAATCATTTTAACCTCGAAAAATTACAAATTTGCCCTAAGATATTAGAGATTAACTTGTATTTTCTCTCTTTTGCTCAACCTTATTTTTCTTCACCTTTTCTCCTCCAAAAATCTCGCTAGTATGGCTGATCATCAATGCAAAGACTCTAATTCTTCCGTTGGGCAAGATAATGCTGGAATTAATCAGCCTAATCATTCTCAACGTAAGTAACTTCTATTGTTTTTATCACCTTAATTCTTACTTTAATCTTAAAATTTGCAAGCAAATGATGATCCTGCAAATGGGTTTCGGGTATATATTGAGAAATTTGTGAGCTTTTTGTGTTTTCAAATTTATGGGGTTTGATTTAATAATCATTTGTATAAGTTGAATTCAATTTTAGAAAATTTAGTATAAGTTTGGGATCATGAAAACACATGCAATACTTGCTATTTTGATTGAAGATATGATCATTAATTCAATGCTAATTGAAAATTTTGTGAAATTAGAGTCTTTATTATGTTACAATTGACAATAACATTTTCCATTTATCTGGGTTTGGCTATAATTGATGAATTTGTGACTGATTCAAAATTTCAAATTGTTAGTTTGATTCCTCTTTGTTGGGCTTACATTGTACTACGTTTAAGAGTTTCATTTACTATGTTTAAGGATTAAGGGTATTGTTCCACAAATACCAGATGATATCTGAGACGAACTCGGAACTCGTTGATAGGCGCTAGTCTAATGCTTTAGGTGTTTCCGCTATTTTATTTAAAGGTTGTTTATTTTCCTTTAATTCTTGTTTATTATTAGTTAGTAAATCGGGGGTGTTACAATCCATCTGCAGAATTAATTTGGTTATGCCTAACCCTGCTGCCATCTTCCGGCTATTTTTATAATTTAGTGTTTGGCCTTTGTTTCTTTTCAAGTTATCATGAAGTTTGCCTTCTTTGCTAAGAGCATTTCATTATACAAGTACGTTTTCACATTACAAACACATGCTATTAATGTGATTTATCAAACCATGTACGTGCAAGAGAATCCTTATCAAAAGCAGGGCTGTGAAACGCAGCAACTGATGTTCTTTCCCTTGTTTCATTCACTACTGACCGGTGCAATATGCTTTTAGAAACGAGGCATGTAGTTTTCTTGATCATTTTAAGTGAGTGAAATTGAGTGAATAAGGGTGTGGTGTGCAAAAGGCTGGAAGCAACTTGATCATGTAATTAGTTCTATAGGCCGCCTATAGAACTAACTAGTGTTACTTTCCATTCTAATATGAGCATGGGTGGTCGTATTACATTGTATATTGTTGATTCATTAACTTTGAGACAACAAAAAAGTGAGCTGAAAGCGTAATTAGTTCTATAGGCGGCTAGGAGTTTGTTGTAAATTGAGGATAATAAGGATCAAGGATGTGGTGTGCGAAAGGCTGGAAGCAACTTGATCATGTTTATCATTTGAATGTTATGAGTCAGGAAAATGTCCTCTGACAGCACTTAGTGATAGTATTGCTTAAGTTTATTGTTGATTAATTTCTACTCCTTATGATTTATAGCTTGCTTGTCGTATTGATCGTTAGGTTCTTTGTATTTGAACTCGGAGACTGCTAGGCCTTCTTTGTTTCATTGTAACTCAGGGAATATGTGAGAAATCCAGCTTTCGATGATGATATTCCATGGATCTTTAGCTTCCTTTGATATTTAATATGGAGCCATACTGGAACAGGAAGTAAATGGTATATGGGGTTAGGGGTTGATCACCATTAAGAGTTCATGTGGAAGGAAAGACCCAATTCATAATTGAGTTTTTATCTCATCATTCTAGACAAAGTTTGGTTTGATATCAGGTGATGAGAAAATATTTTGAGTAATAGTAATGGGAAAATGCTGGTAATTGACTAATTGGCTAGAGAAATTAAAAGCAATAGTAGAAGTTAGACCGTTAAGGAGGTCAATGCTGAACTTTAGTTTCAAAAGAAACAAAGTATTGGAGAAAGAAGGTTGTGAAGGAGTTAAGGAAACATAATGTGGATGTCAAATTCTTGGAGTAGACCGAGTAAGGATTATACATGGAAATATGACTTTCATTAACAAACAAAGACTAAATCTACTTCATGGTGGTTAGGAATAGATTGCTCTAGTTTCTATAGCGCTCAAATAAGTTTTGGGGCAAGCTTCTAAAATTTGTTTTATTTTTCATTACTACACAGTGCTTTTTTTTTTTTCCCCTTCTGTTTATTTTATTGTGCTTTGAGTCCCGATCTTTAGTATCAATCATATGCTCAAACGCTATTGTCTCTTCTTTCTTGCCATTGAAAATTCTCTACTATATTTCTATGCAGGGACTGTACAAACTAAGGTTGTCATACCAAATCATCATGGTGAAAAGCTAGTGGGGATATTACATGATACAGGTTCCAAGGAGCTTGTAATTGTGTGCCATGGAATAAAGTCCATGAAGGTAAGTATTTGCTACCATAAGTAAGACAGCTTATATTTCAAGTTGAACACCATTGCTATAGAATGCAGAGCCTATTTCCTAAACATTGCTTTTAAAGCCTTTTGCCATATTGCATTGTATTTTCCCCATCGCTTTAAGTGATTGCCTATTGAATGTTGTACCGTGAGACTTGTTCTTTTGTGGTATGAAGTCAATCATTGATCATAGACAAGAAACATTGTTATGCCTTGGTGTTACTCAATTTTACATGGTCATTGCATCATTCATGCTTGCGTCTGTATTTTTCCTGCTACAATTGTCATATGTTATGGGTTCAAAAATGCATCCTGGATAGTTTTTTATAGAGTATCATGTACAGGCTGTAGATGCAGAAAAGCTTATAGGCTTCATGTCTAAGTTGTGGTAACAGTGTTGTGTTGGGTGGTAGACTGATATGTTCTTGACAGACTAGTAATGTTGAATTGCTTTGTTGTTGTGTTTAACTGAAGAAAACCCAAATGTGTTGGGTATACAATAAACATTCTTTAAATGATTTCAGGAACGCATTCCCATGATAAGCCTTGCTACTGCTATAGAAAATATTGGAATGAGTGCATTCCGCTTTGACTTTGCTGGAAATGGGTGAGCCATGTGAACACATTATACAATTTGTCTATTCTGACAATAGAAAAAAAGAGAGATGTATCCTAAGAATGAAATATTCCCCTTTCCCTCAACAAAATAAGCAGAAATATATTAGCTATAATTTTTAAACATGCTTTGGGCCTTTAGCAGTAAGAGTAGAAATTTCATGTATAGCAATTGCAACTAATAGTGATTTATTTTGTCTGGAAATCTTTTGTGAAGATTCTTTGATTCCTGTGAATAAGGTTGTTTTATCTCAATTGCTTCATGCAAAGATGATAGAAATCTACTCTTATGTAACATTTGCTTGAAATGGCTAAAAGCTCACTCTGCATTGCACCCTTCTTAATGCAAAAAGTTGTATATCCTATGCGCTCAACTCTATCAGTCTCCTCTGGCGTAGGAGTTTTTAGATCCATACAAGTACATTGTTGAAAGGAAAAATGCTTACAACTGTGGCCTGTATTGTATATGTATACGGTAATGTGGCTTTCTGAATACTGCATTACACTCTTTTTTAAGCAGGACTTAGATACACAAATGGGGCCTTGAAATTTAAGTGCAATATGCCAATTTGGAAATAAGTGAATCACTAACTTACTTAATTGGTACATCTCTAGGTTGAATTTGGCAAAAGTTTTATGTAGATGACTCATTGATTACTGTGCTCTCTTTGTAGCGAAAGTGAAGGTTCATTTCGATATGGCAACTATCGCAGAGAAGCTGAAGATTTGCGTGCTGTGGTCCAACATTTCAATGGAACTGACCATGTTATAACCACGATCATTGGTCATAGTAAAGGTTTATATGCTACATGCCTACATCTAATTTCTAGACTTGAGTGCTAAGAAAAATTGATATTGGGTATGGAAGGACTTTGCTTTATTATCGCTAATTTGACTAAGCATATTTAAAGTCTCCTTATGTTTGAGCTATGGAGTTTTATAAAACACACAATACAGGGTTTGGGAGTACTTTATGGATGTCACATTAATTTAGTATGAATGACTTGCATTGTGTACAGCTCAACAATATGCTTATAGGATTGGAAGTTGTGGAAATAGTAAATGTCGATCTCAGCTCTGCTAAATGGTACCTCCTTTTCTTCCATGTGTTGGTCGTAAATAGTCAACCTTGCATTTCAGGGCCTGTGTGTTGGGGTGAGGTACTGGGTGGGGTGTGTGTGTGTATTTTGGGGGTGGGGAGGGGGGGGGGGGTTTTGGGGGGAAGGCTTGGAACATATTAAAGAGCATTTGTAACTTATACTGTCATGACACTTGAGCTTTCTTTGTTTTACTCTTATTTACTGGGGCTAGGGTTTTGGCTTTTTTATTTTTTTTCGCTGCTCTACTTTGCTACTTTCAAACTGTATCGTAATTTAACTCTGGGATTAAAAAAGGTTCATGCAGGTGGAAATGTGGTGCTGCTGTATGCTGCTAAGTACCATGATGTTCATAGAGTTGTAAATATCTCTGGCCGCTTTGATCTTGAAAAAGGCATTGAGGGTCGCCTGGGCAAGAATTTTCTGGAAAGGATTGAGAGCACTGGATTTATCGATGTTTATGGTAAAAGTGGTAAGTTCAGGTTAAACAGTGTTCAAAATAAAGCGATTTTTGTTACTAAAATCTCTTCTATTTCTTTGTAATTGTTGTCCTGTAATTGCTCATGAAACATCTTTTTTATTTTTTTATTTATTTTTTTTATTAACTTGGTATTAGTGTACTACATGCTTCCCACAGGCCACTCCCTACTATTCAACTTGGAGCTAGATACCCTGTCTTTTAGCTTTTAATACTTGTATGTATCATGTTTTACTTTCTAATCATCGGAAAGTCTAGTGTTTACAAAAAGTGAGTGCATACTTCTTGACTTTCCCAACCGTGGGCAACACTGAGTTCACTGAGTAGTGGTGTCTTGTTGCAGGAAAGTTCCAGTATCGTGTAACTAAGGAGAGCTTAATGGATCGTCTATTTACGGATGTTCGAGCAGCCTTAATTCTTGAGAACTGCAGGTCAGTTATGGCTCCGTTTATATCAGCAATCGATTCATAATTTAGATTAAAGGGTCATTAAAGGTTTTGTCTTTCTTTACATCAGTGTATGCCTTTTGATTTCCTATTGTCTCCTTTACTTTAACGTGAAATGGACTGTAAGATCCTAGACTAGAGGTGGATTTAGTATGCAACTGAATTCTGAAAGTTTAGTGCAGTTTTCGGTGACAATGGTTGTAAATCGATATATTTAAGCAATTAGCTCAAATTATGGAGAGAGCAAGTACTGATCGACTTGCTGGAGCTTAAGCGTTCAGACTTTTCTTTTATTCTTTGATGTTGTACAGATGGTGCATATGTATAATCTGCCTACTTACCATTTACCAAATATCATCTTTAAAACGTCTGAAATTGCTGTCAATTTATAGTGGATCCGTGCAGTTTAATTATCTAAGACAACTTGTTACTCTTGTTTTGTGCAATGATTAAACTGCTTGTTTACATTCCTGGATTTGTTGTCACTGGAATGATGGCTATGGTTATCGCATTTACTTTTGCTTCAGGTATTAGAATTTAGGTGTCTTGGTCACTGTGGAATTGTGGATACATTCCTGGATTTGCTGTCACTGAAATGATGGCTTTGGTTATCATGTTTACTTTTGCTTCAGGTATTATTAGAATTTAGGTGTCTTGTCACTGTGGATACTTCAGTCACATGTGGTTTTCTACTGCTTCGGGTGGTATAAAGTTTAAGGTTCTACTATATCCTCTATCAAAGACTGGTTGGTGTTTGATAGATCTGCTAATGCAATAATAGCTCTTCCTTTCAGGATTTTGACTGTTCATGGTTCCATGGACCAAATTGTACCTGTTAAAGATGCCTTGAAATTTGATAAAAACATTGCCAATCATGAGCTTCGAATCATAGAAGGGGCTGATCATGAGTACACCTTGCATCAAAAAGAATTGGTACAAGTTGTTCTAGATTTTATCAGAGATCAAAATCAATGCAATGATGGGATGAAGCATTCACCATCTCATGTACGAGGTCGGCTTTAATGGTTTTTTTTTCAGCAGAGGATGCCTACTGCAACAAACACCAGGAGGCAAAAGGGGTCAGGACATTGAAGATTCTTTGACCACAATGTTTGTTTAGTACACCAGGATCTAGAATCAGGGAACAATAGTCTATGGACTATGGCTCATGACCTGTATTACTCTGTATGTATTTTTCCTTCAGGATAATTCATTGAAACTTTTGCACATTGTATGAACTTTTTTCCAAACTTTTCAGGAATTATTGAATTTATAAAACTAGGAACTCTATTTTTAAGAAACTACTGTTTGCAAGAAAGAAGCCTCATTGGAAATCTGCAATTGATAAGAAAAGATCCTTATAGCCCCATCTGAGGTGCTGATTGTTTTACAACTCTTGGCTCAAGAGCTGAATGAATGCCAATTTTAGAATAAGCATTGTTTATCAGACTCAAAATATGGGTATGAGCCGTATGACTGATCAGAAAACAGTGTAACGGACTTGAAACTGCCAGGAGCCTTAAGTCTGCCCACAGCTGCAGAACAATCGAGCAGCATAGATAACATACATCAGGAGAATTGTGCTGTTTATACAGCATTATTCCAATTGTGCAGTTGATATGTTCATGACATCAAGGGCGAGAGTACTATGGTGGGGAAATTGGTTCATGCTTGTTTTTTACTTAAAAATCTTTTGATCAAGTTTGTTCCAGTGTTCCGTTAAGTTCATTAATAACCGAATTTTAACAAGCCAGATTTTTAGCTCTTACCAACAATTCCTAGATTTGTTTGTTAAATCCATAAAATGCGTAGTAGAACGGATATATATGTTCAGAATGTTAGAAAGGATAAAATGCAGTACTAGCACATTAAGTATATAGGTTTCAGTTGATCAAACTACATAAAGATAGTATACATCAAAAGATAGTCACTAGTATGAAGTAAATAACATTATTCAGATTGCATAATTTATTTGTTCACGTACAGAAAAAAAGTGAACACTGCTCAACTCTAAATTGCAGATAATAGAAAATTGGTTCATATTTGTACTTGAATAACTCTTGATTAATATTGTTCACGAGTTGTTCATGAAAACATTTTTCTTTTGCAATGCTATTGAGCAACCGTTTATTCATACATAATAGGGAGCAGGGACAGTCATGTCCACAGCAGTGACCAACAGCAAGCAGAAGCACAGTTCTATTAAAGAGATACATTGTAGAACTGCGTACAAACCCTGAACTGCTAGCATAAGCTCCACATCTACAGCTTCCTAATTTTCTCTATGTAAGAATAACTTAGTTGACTAAAACAACACCAGAAAAATTTTTGTCACAACAAATGATCAGCAAACTCTTGGAAGGTACTCTTACGGTCTTACTCTTAAATTAAGCTCGAAGAGTTTGTGGCTTGACCCCAATCTTTTTCCAGGAGACACTAGGCATAATCTGTTTCGTGTCAACACGATCTTTGTATTGAATTGCAAAATTTAGCACAGAGTCTAGGAGTGAGTCTGATAGAAGGTGTGGTTTGAGACCTAATTCAACGAGTTTAGTATGCTTAGCATTGTAGTAATGCTCCTCTGCCTCGACTCTTGGGTTAGGCACTGAGGTGGTTTCAACACTAAGCCCAAGTTTTTCTCCTGCTTTTGTTACGAGTGCAGCAAGTTCTCTTACTGAAAACTGCTCGGTGAATTGATTGAAGACTCTAAATTCACCAAGTTTTGCAGGGTTTGCAATGGCCAACTCTACACATTGCACGGTATCTCTTATATCAAGATATCCCCTGGTCTGAAACATTTAAATGTAAAGAACGTTAGAATGACATCTATGCTAAAATTTCAAAAGTGTACAAAAAGGAACATGTACAGGTATCATTCTCCTGCTTTCTTAAACAATCATCTCCAATATTCCATAGACTTTGCTTTAATGACGGGGAAGTCCATTCATACTCCGAAAATTCTAGTATCAAACTTAAAATACTTGATGCCTGAAAAATTTCTGTTTGGGAAGTTATATACTAAGAAAAAAGACAGTAATACATCGTTTAGCACCTATGGACTTCGCTAACAAGATACATTGATTGCTTCCTTAATCAGAGAAAGCAAACACAGGAAAAGACCATATTTATGCAATTGACAGATCAATCTTTTGGATCTATTAAGGGTTTTGGCCACTCATTAAGACCGAGAAAGTACCAGTCAGGGACTCAAAACCTCTATATATGGAATCCACCAAGTGTGAAAATCAAAGATATATTTCAAGTATCCAACAGGCTGCATAGTGGTTTAGATATTGGCAATTAAAACCTAAATGCTAATATGGACTACAGTACCACTATTTCAATATTTAAGGGGTTGTGAGCTTAATTTTTATCCGAACATAACCAATTACCTAACGAGAAAATGTTTTCAGATAAGTTAGTCAATTCAAATTTAAAAGCTGTTTCATACAGTAGCCTACAAAAAGATAAACACTTATTAGAGAGCAATTCACAGAATATTACCTGACCCCCTTTACCATAGACTGTAAGAGGATGACCGACAGCAGCCTGAACGCAAAATCGATTTAATGCAGTCCCGAAAACAGCATCATAGTCAAATCTGTTACATAATTCTTCATGCATTGCAGTTTCATCTGTCATCAATCCATAGACCACACCTTGATTCAAATCAGTTGCTCGAATACCCCAAGCCTTGCATGTAAAAGCTATATTATGTGAATCATGGACCTTGCTCAAATGATAGAAGGAGCTAGCCTGCTTGGGATAAGGTAAAGTATCTGTTCTACCGTTGTGAGTGATTGTTATAAAACCTTCTTCAATATCAATATTTGGAGTTCCATATTCACCCATAGTTCCCAGCTTTACCAGATGACATTCTTCCCTAAACTCCTTAATGGCAAACAGAACATTAAGAGTCCCAATAACATTGTTATGCTGAGTGTATACAGCTCTTGAACGGTCAATCATAGAATATGGGGCAGATCGTTGCTCTCCAAAGTGGACAACAGCATCAGGCTCAAATGACTTAAAGGTTTCTGCTAAGAACTCAAAGTCACAGATATCACCAACATGAAGTTCAATCGTTTTACCAGTTAAGGACTGCCAGCGGCTTATGCGGTCTTGAATGGAGGCGATAGGGGTCAAGGAATCAAGACCAAGTTGGTGGTCAAATAACCGACGAACAAGGTTGTCAACAATGGCAACCTCATAGTTTTTATTGGATAGGTGAAGGGCTGTTGCCCAACCACAATATCCATCTCCACCAATAACCATAACTCGCTTGCGACCAGATGAATTTCCGTTGTTCTCGAAGGAGCTAGTGCCAGATTGAGCTTTAGTTTCCTGGTTTAAAGGTACAGTGGTAGCACGAACAACAAATAGTTTTTGTGTTTTATCTCCTTGATGAACAAGCCTTTTAAATGCTGACTTTGAAGTTTGTGGAGTAAATGACATGGGAGAATTTGTCAACCCTACGTTCCAACATCTGGAGGAAAGTTTCTCACTTGGAGATACTTTCATGGAGCAAGAAGTTGAAAGTAGATGAGCCATGCTGACAAATGGATCTCCACCAATCTGCAAAAAACCTACAATTAAAGGGGGAAAAATTACACGGAGTACTTCATAAGCTAAAAATACATATCATATTTCGAACAAAATTTCAAAACCAGGAACTCTTGTGCAAGTACATAAATGTATATTTTGTATAAATTAAGACTTAAGAAATATATAAAGGATAACATGAAAAATAAATTCCTTCCGGAATTAATAACATGAATTTCAACAATAGTCAAAACTCAACAATAACATAAGGCAAATAACATTTTGGGGCATCCAAAAATTAATACACAGTTATGAATGAAATAATTAGTACAGAGTGCAAACTGATGCAATATTATTAACACTACGTTTGGATAACAATAGTGAAGGGGAGGAAGGGGAAGGTAAAGGGAGGTGAGGGGAGGGGAGGGAGATGGTGACCTTCCAAATCTCTCCAATAGCGAAGGGATTTGGTTTATTAAAAGGGGAAGGAAAATGGATCCTTCCAAATCCGTTTCCTTCCTTCCTTGCATTTAATATCCAAACAAAGGATGATGCATCTCCCCTTTTCTCTTCTCTTCCTTTCCCTCCATTTCTCTCTATCCAAACATAGTGTAACACTAGCAAGTCACCTAGCATGCAGTCATGCACCCTTTAACTCTCTTAATACAGAAACTACTATGGCTCAATTCTCTTTTATTTAGGAGTAATGAATAACAAAATACACCCATAACTCTTAGTTTCATGGCTCAATCCTACTACGTCTACCAACCCTATTCAAAATCACAATTCAAGCAGCAAAAATGGAAATTTTGCAAAATTTGAGCAAACTACTAGCAAAATAACAAATTTGATCACCGAAAGTTTCCTAACTTGTTCACATACATATTTCGAAGTGAAAAAAGCAATTTACCCTCCAATTTATCGAAACCCCAACTGACAATCTGCAATTCAGATGATCACAAAATGAACCCCTTGCAATTCAAAGGACATCCATTATAACCCCCAATAGACAAGCTGCGATTCGATCAATGAAAAACGAACCCTTTTTGCAATTCAAACGACACCCTACGGAATTCTACAGTTTCAACCACAAATTTTAACCATTCAGCAGCACAAACTGCAGGAAAAAACGAGCATTTGGAACCATTTTCACACAGACAAATTAGCAAACACATAGCAAGCATAAACAAATGACAACAAACAACTCATAAAACACAGATCTTTCAACAACCCATTACATTTTTAACCATTCTGAATTCAAGTAACAACATAGAATAGCTTAAAATTGTCAAATCAATTGGATTAAAAAGCTTCAATTATGGTATAATTAACAAGTGTAGAGAAAGATATAATACCTGGTATAGAATTAGAAATCAGAGCAAAATTCTGAAGTTGAGAGAGAGAGAGAGTAAGGGGACTTTGGTTGGAGTCTGGGTAATTGAGTAGGAAAATCACATGAATTTCGTAGCTTTTGAGCTTAATTATCTGAAAAAATCGAGTATCTAAGAATATTGCAGGATATTCCTCATATCTTATTTCTTTTCTGATAAATTCAGTAATTCCTAGGGGTGGTAATTCGGGTCAGCAGGTCGGGTTTGGGTCAGATTTCGGGTTATGCTTAGAAACTATTAAAAATAGTGTAAAACTTAATATTATTACGAAATATGAAATTTGGGTCAAATCGGGTCGAATTCGGGTCATTCGGGTTCGGTTCAGGTCGGGTTCGGGTCTCTCTCAGTAACTTCGGATCGGGTTCGGGTCGGGTTTTCGTGTCGGGTCAGGATTTGCCAGCCCTAGTAATTCCTACGGAGTACGTCATCCATTTCTGCAAACGTATAGGAATACTCCCTCCGTCCCACAATACATATAACGTTAGACGATTTATGAAATAATTCTCAAAGTATATCCATATAGGTTTGGAAATTACAAAGCTAGGAGTTAAAATATAATGGCTAAAAACATCATTGAAGAGATAATTTTTTCCTTATAAATATGTACTCCCTCCGTTTAAGTTACTCGCAACTCCTTTCAAAAAAAAAAAAAGTTACTCGCAACAAAGGAGAGAATTGCGGTCTCCTAGGCAAAAAATCATAAGCTTGATTATTGAAAAATTAGGGATACACTTAAGTACTAATCCAACCCAAAACCAACAGCTAGCACCACCACCAACAACTAGCACCAACAGTCCACCAACACCTACCACCACCACCACCAGTCCACCACCGAGCACCACGAAACCACCCAACACCACCATTTAACACCACGAAACCACCCACCACCACGAACCCAAATTCCGAACCCCAAAAACCCACAAGCGAGGGGACAACCACGAATCTACCCACAAAACCACCCACGAATTCAACCACCCATCTCCACCCACGAACCCAAATTTCGAACTCCAAAACCTACGAACTCAAATTTCGAACACCAAAACCCACAACCCACCACCACCCACGTACCCAGATTTTGAACGCAAAACCCACAACCCAGATTTCGAACCCAAAACCCACAAGCGAGGGGACAGCCGACAGCGACGTGACTTCCGGCGAGGTGTTGCGATCGAAATGAGGGTAGATCGGTGAAGCAAGAGAGAGAAATTCTGGGTATGGTGGTGGTGGTGGTGGTGGTGGTGGTAGTGGTGGTGATGGTAGTGGTGGTGATGGTAGTGGTTGGCAATTGAATTAAATTGGGAGGGGAATGATTAAGTTAATCAATGTAGAGTTTAAGTTAATGAGATAAAATCAAAGTTTAATTAAGATGTTTAAAACCAAAAGTAAGGGTATATCCTTGAAAATTTTCAAATTCATCATATACCATTGAGTTGTTACAAAAATTTACCATATACCGGAGAACCACAATGGGTAATGCTACTCAAACTTTTTAAATTAAGTGGGTAGTTTTTTTGATAAAAATTTTAAGCGAGTAGTTGTTGACAAAATGACCTATTAGGTGGGTAGTTCTTGACAAATTTTCCTAAGGTAAATTAATTATGAATTATTTTGTACTTTAATGTTATATTCTTAATATTATTTTTTTTCTTAATTATTTTATGAGATTGATTCCATGTGGGACTAACATTATGAAACAAAGGGAGTAATTAATAGTGAACATTGCAACCTAATCAATAGTTGGTGGTGTTCTAATGACTAGTTAGTTTAAGTATGGGAGTGTTGTCTTGGTTGCACCCAACCTATATAGTTTAGGATGTTGAAACCAATTTGCCAAAATTAAATAGTGAAAATTCAATTCCATCTCTACTAATGATATCAATTAAATAACAATTACCTTTTTCCAATGCCAATTCAATTTCATTTCATTTCATGTCATGGTAACATTTAGACTATGAGATCATCTGATTTGATTTGAATTTTTTTGATCTGATTTGATCTAGTCTGATTTTCAACGTTGACTAAATGTTAGCCTTAATTATAAACTAATATTAATTAAAATTTCATAGATGAACAAATCAAATTATGAAACATGGCACAATTAACCCAAACAATCGGTTAACCACAAAAGGAATAGGTTATAACTCATTTTTTGGAATATCTTCTATAAAAGCTACTTATTTTTAGTTTATCAAAATATTGTTTATTTTAAGCTAATCGTGCAATTAATATAATGATTTGCTTATTCTTGATAATTTTTTCAATTTTAAATCAATATCTATATTGATTTATGACAAAATTCTTAGGATATCTTACATAGAAGGCAAGAAATAACCAATTTCTAATGTCTTTAAGTGCATGATGATTTATATCCTAAAAAGTTTGATACGAATCTACAATAACAAAAAAGAATTTGTGTATTTATTTTATGATCATGATGATTTATGTCCTAAAGTGGTTGATACGAATCATCAAAGAGATTTGTATGATTTATTAGACAATAATGTGATTAATCAATAATTAAATAATTAAAACTTAATTATAATTGTTGGAGAGTCGGGTCAATACTAGTTTTACATTCAATATATTCACTATGGAAATAAAAGAGAGGTGGATGAAATTGGAACCGTGTTTTTATTATCACGTTAATTCTTGATGTCATGTTAAAGTTAAGGATTAATCCTCGATTGCGTTATCACATACATTATAAATACTACATCGAAATGACAAATTTATATATGTCTCACTCGGTCACTCTAGCAAAATCGCTAACAATTTCCTCTTCTTTATTCCAATACTAAAATCTCTTTTGATCATTCTCCAATATCATTCTTGATAGATCATATTCTATATTGAAAATGGGATCCCATGTATTCTTGTTCTCCGCCGTTTTCAATTTACAAATATCATTATTTTTACTTGTGAGTGCACCGATTCACAAAGGCCATTTTCGAAAGAAAACAAAATTTAAGGCTTATTCTATTAAGCCTTACAACATCAAATCAGTGAATTACCTGAATGTAGGTATAATTTCTATATTTTCTTTGAAAGTAAAGTTGGATGATCCAAACTTATATTAAACTAACCATTTAGAATTTACTTTGAAAAATCAATAATACTACGTTTATTGATCAAATTCCCGTAATAATCTTAACTGCTTTTTCCGAGATATTTATTTAGCCCCACAATTTGTTTACATTATTGGTTTGTTTTGATTTATTTGAAAAGTTAAATTTATGCAAGAAGATGGTCAATTTTTGGCATAATTTTGTTAAAATGATCTTTACTTTTTAATTTAGACTTTTCAGAATAAAGTTCTCTATGGGTTGATTTCTTATTAATTCATTTAAATAAACAGGTAAACCAAAATGTCTTCATCTCTTGACTATACGCGAACGAGGTTAGCTTACAGTAGCCACCGCCACCAGTGGCGGAGCCATTAAAGAAAAAGAGGCGATCTTGAGGTTAAAGGGTTTACCTTTGATCTTTAAGATTAGGGGTTCAATTCCTTTAACTTGGCAAGAATGTTAGGAGATTTTGATAAAATATGTTGTGATAATTGTTTAGTTTACATAGAATTATGAGTTCATGACTTATGGTAGTATGTATTTGATCCTAGTTAGGTTGTCTTGATTCATTGTAAATATACTACATCCGCTTCTCATTATGTGCAACAAATGAATATTTTTTATGTCACAAATAATATTATTTTATTGCACATAATAAGAGGCACAAGTAATATATATTTTGGTTTTCTGTCAATACATTAATTAGTCAGCTCAATAACTAGTATTTGTATTTGTATTCAATTTTTTTAATTTATTTTTAAACAAATCAAGAAGAGTCTTATATTGATAATTTATCCATCAATACATAAGAAGATACCTCACAAGGACTATGTTTCTCCCAAAATTGTTCAACACCAAAAGGCACGATACGAGCTAAATTATGAGTCACCGAATTAACATTTCGCTTAACATGACACCAAAAAAACCAAATTTAAGTAAAGTGCTAGAATACAAAATATCATGAAATTTAACAATTTTTAACTGTTAAATTTCATGATAATTTGAGATTTTGTTATTAAGATGTGCTACACCATGTTGTTGTTTGAGTAGTCTTTTAGATAGGGCTTGGGTGAAAACATAACCAAGTGGTTGATCAATTTGGATATTTATATCATTCCATGTTTGATATATATGGGTTGTTGTTGTTTACTCTTAGGTAGATTGATTGCAGTGTATTTTGGTGACCAACTTTATGCTCGTGTCGTCATTCAAACAATTTTGCATCGAAAGGTGGGGTTTGGGAGTGAGTATATATTCTCTATGTGCAATGCGACTATATTCAATTGTGGTTGAGTTGTTTCAATGAATAGGATGCTTTATTTAGTATGATAATTATGTGATAAATACAATTATTTGTAATTCATGTTAATTATATTGCATCAAAAGATAAATTTCGGCTAGAAATCCAATTCTTTTCGTTGAGGCTTTGTTTCCTATCGTGTTGGTTGTTTGGTTTAAGAAATTCTTAGTGTTGTCGCTTTGAAAGAAACGACATGCATTGAGTTCCCATTTTATTGCCCTAGTGTACGAGCTCATGTTCTTTCCAATTTATTGATTCGAATTCATTGGTTTGGTTGTTATTGAATCATGTCTCTCACCCCTACAATATTATCTTCCTTAGTTTAATTTAATTGCAAAGTACTTCATTAATAAAAAAAGCCAATCTTGTGACCGAGTTAGTTTATAGTCATTTGGCATGGTCGGTGTTCATATTATTAAATTAGTCATTCTTGGTGGATATATACGATTTTCTACTTGCCCTATATTTGTTTTACATTAGTTTAGGTTATAAATACTATTTGGTTTAGGTGTTTCATTTGATGATGACCTTAAGTATCCCTTTGTCGATTACTCTTTAATCAATAGAAATGTTTCAGTTTGAGTGCCAAAAAATACTTATTAATAGCGCACTGTCACGTGCGGACTAACTCCTATAGTCTTATACACTTGCGCCCATTAACTTCCTTCCCAAAGGTTTCTATTTAAGGCTTAACCCCAAGTATTTCTCATAGCAAGTAAGGCAACGAAAGCTAAGTAAGTGAGAAAGTTAGTAAGAACAGAATAGAGTAAGTTAAGAGAACTTGTAT